CGAACTAGTGTTTCATATTGTTGTTGAAAATGAATTATTTTTTAACAAATTAATATGTAAACTTTCTTGAACCTATTCAAAAGCTAGTAGGTACATCATGTTAATACAATATTTTTGGGCAAATTCTCTTTCTCATGCATTTGTTCTTAATGCTGGAGAATAAATATGAGGATCCTAGATAAGAGCTGACACCTCATTTAGCAAAATGAGTTATTAAGAGAAAAAAGAAGTGAGGTCCACATGCTCCGGTTAGCAAAATGGGCAGTGTCTCAACAGTACTGGTGTCTCCGGTAGCTCATTTAACATAGTGAGCTGCCACTTCATAACCAATTTTTTTCCTAATAATATTGAAGTTATTTGAGGTTATCATCTATATCTCAGAAAGAATAGCTACTTATTGTCAGGTCCTGGAGTAGTTACTTATTGTCTAGTCTACAAAAGTCTTGATCTAGGTGACCAGACCGTGGCTGCTTTCTTGTGTCTACAGCTACTTTTGGACTATAACCTGTGGTTGAGTTAAATGATACCTTTCTTATTTGTTTGGGTTAATTGCAGATATACCCCTTGTACTATTTCCCAATTGCGGATAGACCCCCTGTAGTTCTATTGTTGCGGATAGACCCTTAGAGTGAACTTTTTGGTTTGACTATTTTACCCTCATAGAAGGGGGAAAAAATTAAAATTTGAAAAATAGATCTCCTGAGGGTAAACCGTAAACGAGTCAAGAATTTCACTCTGGGGTCTCTCCTCAATTGGGCGATAGTACAGAGGGTCTATCTGCAAAAACAATCCTCTTTCTTTTTAAAATATTCCTTCATTAGAGATTATATTTCCCCACTTGCTTAAATGTGACTATATAAGTTTTTGACTATCATGCAGATAGAGAACAATGGAGTTCATTCTCCTCTTGAGTCTTCAATCGGTAAATCCCTCTACGTAAATATGAGGGAAGATGGACTTGTTGCTGCAGTGAGCTGTGACAAAGCGGACGTTAACAAATCAATGACCTCCGTTGATTCTCAAACAACTCATAACTCAGTTGGAGAGGGGAATGAAGATAGAACTGAAAATGCGCTTAGCTCCTGTTCATAAAGCCACAGCAGCAGCCTCAGTTGGGTAAATTGCATATGAACACAACTCCTAAAATCTTTTGATGGCATTAGTGGTCAAGTAATGAGATGCGGGAGTCAGCTCTCAACTCAAAAGTGGGAGATCAATGTATTTACTCGCTCGCACGAGTTGGTTGCTGGTGTATTACGTAAGCTTGTGTATGCACGTCTCATGTTCATGCGTTTATATTATTCTGTGCTGTATCTGGAATAAACAAATAAATGAATAAATAAGGGAGAAATTTTTGAAATAGACATTTTTTAAAAGTAATTAGCAAAATCGATCATTTTGCTAAACAATAAACAAAATCTATCTTTTTGCTACACAATAAGCAAAATCAATTGATTTCTTTTTTGCCACGTATCAAGGCTAGTTGAAAAGAGGTCAATTTTGTAAAAAATACACATTTGAAGTGCGCAAGAATAGTAGTCCCATGAAGAATATACATAGGACTACTAGTCTCATGTATTTTTTTTGCAGCAACTACACAAGACTAGTAGTCCCGTGTATATTATGGACATCCACAAAAAATGCATGCATGTTCATAGCTTGTCTGTTGTGCATATAAATTATCTCATGTGTGTAGGCGTCAAAAAATGTTTACGGACATCCAAACACCTCTCAAGACAAAATAGAAGAACAATATACAACTATTTCCCTAATCTCAACAGGAAGTTTCTGGAGAATATTACTCAAAATATTCTTAAGAATAACCTGGTCACCTCCTAACGAGTATATGAGGTTAAACTATTTCCCGAATACTCCGAGGAGTATATGAGTATAAACTGCATCTCCGTGAACCTCCCAACGGGTATATGAGGTTAAACTATTTCCCGAACACTCCAATATAGTATATGAGTATAAACTGTTTCTCAAATTCTTCAACAGCAGTTCTAATTCGAGATTTCGACAACGGCCACGCGATAAACGCAGCACCGGAGGAATCTTAGCTATTCTACAAAGCACTGAATAGGCTAAAAGATGAAGAAATCAAGGATTGAAGCCATTCACAAACCATTCTGCACAATTTCCTCAACAAAGCACTGGAGAAATTGCAGGGAAAGCTTATCATATCCAAAGTATCCCAGACCCCTCTCTAAAAAATGATGAGTCTGAGATACTTTGGAGGGGGTATCTGTAGGCGTCAAAAAATGTTTACGGACATCCAAACACCTCTCAAGACAAAATAGAAGAACAATATACACGTCATCATGCAGCACTGTGGCGCGGCAGGACATGGTGCCGCGGCTAAAGCGCGGCAGCCCATGGTGCCGCGGCTAAGGCGCGACAGCCTAGGGTGCCGCGGCTTAGGCGCTGCAACCTGCAGTGCCGCGGCAATTAAAGAAGGATGCTATGGCAGTTATAAGGCAGTTATTCGATGATTTTTTTGGAGTCCACGTGGCGGCGTATCAGAAAGCAGTTAAACCATGAAAAAAAAAGTGGTTAAAGGTCGTGGGAGGACGGTTTTAAGCACGATGGAACGTGCTGATAACCGCCTCTTTGGCCGTTTACGGACATCCAAACACCTCTCAAGACAAAATAGAAGAACAATATACACGTCATCATGCAGCACTGTAGCGTGGCAGGACATGGTGCCGCGGCTAAGGCGCGGCAACCCATGGTGCCGCGGCTAAAGCGCGGCAGCCCATGAGCAGATTGGAGCAGAAAAGGCTTAAGCTTTTGGTGAATTAGAGCAAAAGAGAGAGTCTTCCTTCTTCACAAACATCTTCAAGAAGCTTTTGGCGATTCCTAGAGATCTAAGCTCTGATTTGATCTTTAGAAGAGTGAACATCTTACATCGATAAGATATTCGCTTCAAATTCTTACTTCGATAAACGAAGGAAGAATCATTAAACCCCTCACGGTTCAATCAGAATCTGTGATTTGGTGGTCCACGAGTCAAAGCGCTCCCGGCACAGGCAAAGATCCCACGCAAGCAGCGATCCAAACAACGATCCTGCGTTTGTTTCTAAAAAGTTGTAATTTTCCTTTTGTTATGTAAAAGAAGTCTTATAAAAAGACTATCTCTTTTGAATTTGTTGTAATCGACCGAAGATATAATGAATTCCATAACAAAACCAACTTTTGACGCAAACAATGTGCATATAAAATATTCAATTCACATCATGCACATATCCAAATATATAAATGCCATGAATTTATGCACATAACTTCATACACAGCTAAACATATAAATACATATTATCTCCCACGCCCAAACAAAACAAAACCGAAATATTGCAACAAAAGACAATTGATAAACAGATTGTGACAAAACATATTATCTCCATACATCAAAACATCGCAATAAAACTAAATATATCAAGCATATTGATTTACAAACAACTATACCAATAACCAAATATATCGAGTGAATTGGATTACAAATAACCTAAATCGATCACATAGAACCTAGAAGTCCGCCCCTTACCCTTCGTCTCTCTCTTCTTACCTGAGTCAATCATCATCGTCCTCCATGGATTTGAGCTTATACGAGCTCATTGTCAGATATATAAGTAACCGTTCTCGGACTTTGACACTAGGAATTAACATGTATATATGTTAAAAGAACTACTTCCGACTCGAAGTGTTCTCTAGCTCAACAACTACAAAGGCCAAAGGAATAACCCACCATTTGCATCTACCCGGGTCACAACTAGAAGAACTCCTTTGTACTTGCCATATAAATGTGTGCCATCGATGCTCGAAAGCGGACGACAAAATGTGAACCCCTTTATAGCGGGACCGAGTGCCTAAAATACTCACCCAAACCTCTCCACTCCTGGTACAATAGTTTTAGATGATATTTTGTATTTGGTACCCAAAATTTTTTCTCTTAATTTGTTCAATATATTGCAGAAGTAATTCGTAAGATTCCTCCTACTCTTGAAAGATTTTAATCAATGCCTTTCTCCGTGCATCATATGCCTTATATTTGGTTTTTTCCTCGTATTATATACCCTCGTAAATATTTGATCTAGAGTCGGATCAAATTATCTCCTTTCTTCAGGCATAATTAGCTTCAAGATATAATAGGAAGTCATTGCCTTATTATCGATATTGATAGTTGGATTGCAACATGTATGAAGTCCACAATAAGTAGAGATCATAAATTTCCCATTTGTTTTTTCTATAACACTTGCATTTAGCTTTCAAGGACACTTCACATTTCTTTCATCTTAATCATTTGCATATTCTCCTTGACCCTTCTCATTGTTGAAGTAGATGGTAGCTTGTAGTATTAGTTTTCATGGGCTTGAATTTGACCCGATCCTTAATGGACCATTCACATGTAGCAAAAACCAACGCCTCCTTGTTCTCGAATAGATCTCATTTTTTGAAAGTGAAGTCCTTAAGTCATTTAAGAGTTGAACCAAGATCAATAAACTTAGCTTGCAATGCATTTATCTAATCCTCATTTTAAAACTCTTCAAAGAACGATTCTTCAGACTCCACATCTTCGTTGTTTATACAAAATTTATCCATCCAACTAGTGTCCTCATCAATACCTCCAATTTCACACTGTATTCTATCAAGTAGACATGTCCAAACAGGTCGTTCCGGCCCAACCCGGTCTTTTAGCAAAAAAAATGCTAAATAATTAGATTTTTTATAGTAGAATTTTAGGAGTAATTAAAATATGCAAAATTTGACAAAAATTCTATCTTGTTATTAATCACTTGTAATTATACAATTTTCAAAGTTCATAGAAATTAAAATAATAAAAAACAAATTCTTTATTATTAATCACTAACAATTATAATTTTTCTAGAAATCATCGCATCACAACAGATAAATACATCCAAACTAGATTAGCATCTACTCATCTATATCACTATCATTATAAATCGTTAACTCATTAAATCTATCTTTAATACTAGCTATCTGGTCTGTGCATTGAGTTTTCTTCTCGTACCGCTGCCAATCTTGTAGGCACATTATCGTCTGTACGGTAGATAGATCTAATGATATTATATGGTCGCAGATCAAATGTCCTGATGTGCTGAAGCGGAATTCTGAAGCTATGGTAAAAACCTGCACTGTTAGTAAGTCACGAGCCATAATAAAAAATACATGATATGAAACCGTTCTATATACTCACCACCATTGCAAAATATTAAAATCAACATTATTTTAAAGTTTAACTAAAGGTGTAGCTAAATATTATTTAATCTCAGAAAATTTTCCTTGTTAATGATCCTTGTTGATATTAGATGCTTAACAGCGGGATTTAGGACGGGTTTTAAAGAGTTTAGGGTCCCTTGATCTCCTTTGATGGTTTATTCCCTAATAGGAAGAGAGTCATGCACATATGCAACACGTTAGAGGACCAGAGTTGGATTCTTAAATGATTCATCCAATGATCAAGGTAGTTATAATCTGAAGGGAAGAAAAGAACTGATATAGTTCTCTCTAAGTGCGTAGAAATTGTGTACCTTTAGTCAATAGTCGATGTGCCTATTTATACTAAAATGATAGGGGCATTCGGGTAATTTTGGCTGAGTACATGCATTCGGCTTAGTCAGATGATACATTTACAGATGTCGATATCAGAGAATTTGAGTCACATTGTGATTAATGCGGCGATGATAGATAGCTTAAGGTGCTGATGTGCTCCAATGAGTCGTTAAGGCTTTGGCGGTGAAGTAATGATGACTCTGTCAGTGTATTTAATATGACAATAATTTGTTATCATTTAATAAGTGCGAGGAGCATTGCCTTCCATCTCAGCCTTCGAGGGAGGTGAGAAAGACCGTCTCTTGTCTTGACTATCGAGGGAGACGAGAAGTGACGCCTTTCATCTTGGTCTTTGAGGGAGACAAGAAGTGACGCCTTACATCTCGGCCTCTGAGGGAGACGAGAAATCATTGTGTCCATGTGGAGTTGGTGTGTCATCCTCAGGAATACACGTCGATCCCGAAAAAATAAGGGTCATTCAAGAGATGTTACCTTCGAAGAACCTCAAAGAGCTTAGAGGTTTATAAGGACGATTAGCCTACATCCGAAGGTTTATCGCCAATTTATCTGGAAAATATCAACCATTCCAAAGACTTATGAAGAAAGGTGTTTTGTTTGTCTGGGATGACGCCAACTAAGATGCTTTCAATGAAATCAAAGCTTATCTCACAAAGCCACCAGTGCTAGCCGCACCAGTATCAGGTAAACCATTCTTGATCTATGTCAGGGCAATGGATCATTTACTCGGAACCCTTCTCGCTCAAAAAAATGATAATGGCCATGAACAAACC